CGGAAGTTACAAAAAGGGGCTATTTTCTTCCATTCTTATAGGTTAGGGGCTAAAACCGTTATGTTATAAGGTGAGGGGCTAAAACCGTCCAACTTGTCAAGGTAAGGGACTATTCTTAGGCTTTTGCCTTAGCATTGAAGAGGTTTTGAACCCCTTACCTTGACCACAAATCAAGGCCTTATAGGCTATGGTTAGTAAGGACCTATTCAACTAACCTCTTACTGGTACATTAGCATCCTGTTTTAACCATATGGACTGTGGTCTTTTAACAATATGCTTTTTTGAGGCCTTGCTTCTTAGCTTGCTTACTATTTTTTGAACTAGTAATGTGTAGAATCAATGACCTCAATGTTAGGAGATTCATAGATTTAGAAAACTCTTTCCTTTCCATATCTGTACTCTTTTTTCCTTTTGTCCCCTACTTATCATGTAACACTAGAGAATGTAAAACTTATTCGTATTTCCCATTATGGTCAAGAAACCATTAATAAGAGAAGGAACTTGGAAGGCAAGGGAACTTGTACTATGATTTGTTTTTGGTTAAACCTTTCCACATACATGTGGACTGAAGATGATCAAAATCATGAAACAAGAATCCAATTTGCTCATGACTTCCAATTTCCAATTAAGATGCCTTTCTCCATTTTCAAGGTACAGGTGGTGTTCTATAAATTATATTGCTAAACAATTAATCAATCTAACCAGCTTCTTATAAATGATATTTTGAATGAATTGAATCAAGGTTTTGAACTGGTACAGGCAGGTTCAATTGATCTAATGCAGCGGGCTAGAAGTTTTTGTATGCTAATGGGAATGATCACCCACCAACTGCTGTTGAACCAGACAAGTCATTATCAGGGGAACTTGTTATTCAATCAAAGTCCTTCCAAGGTAAATCTGAACTTGCAAGTTATGTTTTTTTCTTTTTCCGTCATTCTCATAGTCATAGACCAATAGCCTTCTTTTTGCTTCCGGATGAGAACTCATATATTTTGCAACTTGGCATAACTTAGAAATTTTAAACATGCTACCAGTACTATACAATCATATCCATGCATTTCCATATCCACTAATAGCACATGGAATGATACAAACAAAGACTTCATATTTTCGTGATTAATTGAATATCTAATCATCAAGTAGTCTTTTTGGTCCAAAATAAATAAATATATATATATATATATATATATATCAAGTGGTTTCCCATGTGTTCCCATCAGATAGTTTGAAGTAGGCATGATTACTGTCGAAGTGCAGCTATTTAGAAAATCTTGAAAACCTCGGATGACCTTGGCTTGAGAGCCAAACCAGAAAATCTTTTTGAAAAAAATCAAGGATTTGAAATGCAATATATCTCCGTTTAAGAAGGGTTAGAAGTTAAAACATGTCAAACTTGGCCGCTACACATAAGTACCATAAGCTTGTAATTTCTAGACAGTCCAAAATGCTCGTTAATAAGTTTGTGCACTGGATTCACTTAACATTGTTAGATGCATTTTCAAATTTCTGTTAATTATTACTCAAAGAGCTGCCAAGTTTGGCTTTTCTAATTGAGTAGTACTACGTACTACGTGTTCAGAATGATTTATGGTCATTTTGTCAAATTAACATGACAAAATACCCTTTTGATTCCTTATTCAAATTTGATATTGCTTTGCTCTCTCTCTGTCTCTCCCCTGCATCTGTCAGCATCCTCAACGATTTCTAATTCCATTTTTGCTCCCCTGATCCAGGAGGTTGCATTAGCTTCTGTTTTCATAAGGCAAATACCGTTTGCACCAGTTTTGGAAAAGCTTTCGCTTTCTGAAATGAAATATGGATATGTGAGGCGGTTTTATATAGAAACTCTTCAAGATAACGCCATCCCATCACACTGCAGGAGAGCATGATAAACTCAAGCTCTCCAGAAAAGGTATTCTGTCTCAAAGGTGCAGACCACTCCCCATTTTTCTCAAAGCCTCAATCCCTACACAAATTATTGGTAGAGATTACAAAGATCCCTTCAACTTGAAAGAATCTAGTCTTACAAGAATTTCAGTTACATGTTGAACCTTAGACATCATAGGTTTCAATTTTCATGCATCAGAGAATGAATTTGTTCATATATTTTTCATGTGGTTGTTGAGTCTCTTTTGTAATGTATCTTATTTTTTTTTGTTTTACCGTCATGGTCCATTGATCTTTACATTTTGTACTTCTAGGTCTGACGCCTAATTTTCTCTAATAAATATTAGGTTCTATACTTCTTCGCCTTTTAAAATTCACGTGTCATGAAATCAATGGAGAAATGCACAATCCACCAATCAAATGCTGACAGATTAAGGGACGGAAAAAAAATAGTCTAAACTTCCATGGGGAGAAACATGGAGGGGAGGTTTACAATTTTTATACAGGACGCTTTTTTTTTTTAAGGTTTTTTAATTTGAGAGGCATAAGTTTATAATGTAATAAATATTTTTTTTATAAATTTATATTAAAAATAAAATAAAAATTGATATCAACATAGGAGAAGTTTACAAATTTGTTTTATTTATTTATACATAACTCTTAAACTCACTATTTGAAAAAATTAAATTTTTTAATTAATTAAATTATAGAGTTTTCATCTTAAATAGAACTAACCAACAAACTTGTTAAATTATAACTCTGTTTAAGAGCATGTCCAACGCTGGTCTAATAATTTGTTATTTTGCAAAGATAAAACAGGGCTCAAACACTTAAGCATCGGAGTATAAAGAAGAACGGAGCCAGTTTTCCCGTGCGGAGACTGACTCTATTATATATTTTTTTGCCCATTTAAGAGCCAAAATGACGTCATTTTACACCTGATCTTTCTGGCTAAGTGACTTTCAGGCCACCTTTAAGGTGCAATATTCCCTTTCCCTGGTGGGTTCAAAGTTCGACATTTTAATAAAAAAAAAAATGGCGTCATTTTGGCCCTATCTGGCCACAATTTTGGACAGGCCTGATGTGCATCATGCGCACTGCCACTTTCTCAACCAAGCCGTTGGATTTTGAATCCAAAGGCTTGGATCCATTTATTTTTTTCAAAAATTTTTTAATTCAAAGTTTTTATTTAAAGGTTAAACCATAACTTGGTCCCTCAACTATTCTATTGACCTTTGATTTGGTTCATAAGCTAAAAAAATTTCTGATTTAGTCCTTAAGATTTTTAAGTTTGACTCCAAGTTAGTTTTTTTATTAAAAAAGAGCTGATTTGTTAGAAAATCTAGTACCGTTTAATGTTAGTATTGATGAATGAAAATTATTAGGTTTGTACTTCTAGAGTGACCATCAAAAGAGTGAAATTCATCTAGAATTTATATTTTAGTATTCAAAGTATTCACATAAATGAATGAAATTGGATAGGTCTAGATAGTAATTGGTTTGTCAAGGTTTCGTCTTTTATTGTGTTAGAAAATGTGTCTAGTTTTCATGAAAAAAAAAGGTTCAAAAGACCAATGGTTAATAGTGTATTTCCATGTTGGTGATACTTATTACAATTAATGACTATTTGCCACCTGAATCACCAGAGTGAAACTGTGATTGAGATGGAATTAAGAAGGATTTTTTTAGAGATATACAATGTAATACTTTATAATAGAATGTACAAAACCAAGGAAGTATTTATATTAAAACCTTTTAGGTTTCTTCAAATTGTAGTAAATATGATTTGCTTTTAATCTTTTTTTTTTTCACGTTGATACGACTATTGTAACACAGTTGAGAGAATTGATGAATAGGTATGTGAATAGAGGTTTTGAATTTAGAATAAGACAAGTATTTGTATCAATATTTATACAAAGTTTAATATGACAACGAATAAAATTCTTAATATAAAAGACTTAATTGGAGTCAAATTCATTCTAGTGACGAATATATGAGTTTGTTACGAGAAGATTCATCCTTGTGAGGATTGTATTAGTTTTGTTACAAGTATGGACTATCTGTGAATAAATGAAGAAATGTTGCTGCAGCAGATTACCTTGGAAAATCCACTGGGGTTATCACTAGTGCATTTTGGTTTTCAATGCCTTCCAACCTAAGGGTTAACATTAAACCTCGAACTATTGGACTAGAATAGGGGTTAGGATTTTCTTTTAGATCTTTGGTAAACATTCAATTATATATTGTATTGTTCTTTTTACTTGAGCCTGTGTTGTTCTATGGTGGCATTATTAGTTGAGAATCAAATTAAACCTTTAAATAAAAAGAGAAGGCTTATGGACACTTTCTTTAGTACTCTCTGTTAAACACTTTCTTTAGTACTTTCTCTTAAACACTTTTTATGTGATTGAAACACATAAAACATAAATTTAATATTATTGGTAATACACTAATACATTCAGGTTAATATTTATAAAATTTGAAATTATAACCAAATTAAATTTATATCACACTTGTCTCAATGTCCCAATCATATAAAAAGAATCTAAAAGTGTCCAAAATAGTGTTAGAGAAGGCGTGCATTCCTCGGCAATCCAAAATCTTAGCAGAGATGTGCGGTGGTTCAATTAATACCTTGTTTGCGGTTGGTCCTCAACCTGGTCCAAACGTTACTATTAGCTCTCCAGACACAGTTCTTGACACAGGATTAACTCACCGGACACAATTCGTGACATGGGAGAGTGCCTCCTAGTCAAACCTAAAAGGTCAGGACGTTCGGAAACTGCCCAACAATGAAGGCGGCAGCAACAAGAACTTTTCTGAAGATGAGGAACAAAGAGGTGGTGATTAGCAGCCGGTTGACAGATCTTGCCAGGGTCAACCCCGCCAGAGCAAACAGTGTGCTGCCTATGGGGAGCCAGGCGATGACAGCCAGAACTGGCTTCCTGATGGACCATTTTCTGGAATAACTAATTATTGATGCTTCCCCTGTAATCCTCTGTTTCTTAAATAACTCCCATCTTTATTTCTGCAGAGCTCACACATTGCTGGATTTCTCTCCCAATCAATAAAAGAGAATACGCAATGCCTCACCTTTCCTTTTAGCCAACATAATGATCTCACCTTTTATTTAATTTTTAGAAAGGTTTTTAATTGAACAGTGGAGCATATTTACACTATAGGGCCGGCCATATCCGGGCAATTTCAGTGTCATTCAAAACTTTAGTCTAATGATCTCACTTTTTAACACATGGCTTCAGGGAGGATTAAAAAAAAAAAAAAAACTATAAACCCTTTTAATTTTTTGATTGCTTCCGTTTCTCCACGGACAAATTAACCTTAATTTGATTTGAATAGTATAGTCAATACCTTACAAATCCTTCAGATGAACTGAACGAGCACTCCCCAACCGACCAGTTCCATTCCCCAACCGACAAGTTCCAATATTCTGTCTCCTGGTCTGAATAAGCATTAGAGCTGCCATCTAGCTCGTTCAAGCACGTCGGCTTCAGTTCCCAAGAAGGTTTCTTTTGCAATCTGGAACCAATTCATGAAACGCTATTTCTTCGCAAGCATAGCCACCGTGAGGATTGACACCCTTCATAACCGAGTCGGCGTTCTCCTGCTTCTCCAAGGCAAGTTCTAGTGTCACCTCTACTTGTCCCATTGAAGGTCTTTCACTTGCCTCAGCATGAAGACAACTGAAAGCGATCCCCACGAATTCTGTCCAACACACTGGTGCTATCTTTCCTTTCAGATGTGGATCGATGATATCATGAATACTAGCCGCTCCTATCCTTTTAAAGTACAAAGGAACTAGATTCTCTAGATTCTCGTCCAAACTTATTAACTCATATGCCAATCTTCCACATAATACTTCAAACAAAACAACACCTAGTGAAAACACATCACATTTTTCTGTGAGTTCACCATTGATGCGATACTCTGGAGCCATATAGCCATACGTACCTGCAATCTCTGATTTTGTTTGTGTCGAAGCCTTCGGCTTTGAGCTGCTACTGGGACAAGCTTGGCTAAGCCGAAATCAGCAAGCTTAGGAGCACAATTCTTGTCCAGAAGAATATTGGCACTCTTTACATCGCGTGAATTATTGCACACTTGGCGCCTGAATGAAGGTAATGTAATTCACGCGCTGCTCCAATGCATATCTCTAGCCTCTGCTTCCATGGGAGTGGGTCATGAGCATTCGGACGAAGATGATCGCATAATGATCCATGGGTCATATATTCATAGACAAGGATCCTTTCATCTTTCTCTTGACAAAACCCGATAAGGGAGATGAGATTCTGGTGGCGTAGCTGGCAGAGCAACTGCATCTCAGTTCGAAACTTATCTCCGCCTTTTTTGGTCATCGACTGCCGCACCAACAGCTCGGCTTGGAACTCATAATTAGACTGACTGTGGCATTTGACAGCAACAACCTTGGCATCAATAAGCCCCCTGTGTACATAGCCAAAACTACCTTTACCCGTCATCAAACTGTTATCAAAGTTGTTAGTGGCTGCTTTGAGCTCAGCTAGTGAAAATTGGTGGCTGAGTTCTGCTGGGAGTGCTGCAGCTAGTGTCTTAGTTGATTTTGCTTTTCTTCCCCTTACTTTCTTACAAATTTCAGCGAAACTGTGGCGAGGGTTCCCACCATTTCCAAAGACCCGTAGGGATGGCAATTTCCCCAATCCCCACGGGGTCTCGCGGGGATCCCCGTCACAGGGACGGGGCGGGGAGGAATATTCCTCTCCACGGGGCGGGGATGGGGAGCATTTTCCCCCCGTGAAATTTCGCGGGGAATTTTCCCCGCCCCGTGGGACCCCGCGGGAATCCCCATCCCCGCAAAAATTAAAATAAATATAAATTAATTTTATTTAAAATTTAATTCATCTTTCAAACTCTAATCCAAATCCAAACCCAAACACAAACCCAAACTCAAGTTCAAACTCAATTCAATCAAAATTAAATTTAACCAAATTTTACCTAACACAACCCAACCCAACCCAATCCATAAAAATTAACCCAATTCATTCCCCTACTTACATTTAACCTTAACCCTAATTCATTTCTCAATTTTCATTTTCATTTTCACCTTCCCCTCCATTGTTGGTTTAATTTTTGTTTATGTTTTAGTTTAGCTTGGATTAATCTTTGTTTATGTTTGGAACAAATTTGTTAATTGTTGGTTTAGTTTTTTTTTGATATGAAATGAGCGCCTGTTTTATTTAATTGGATAACGACAGGGAAATGATACAATAATCAATTTGGCAGCTTGTCCCTGGCTACAAAAGGCGCAAGAAAAACTGGTATCTCACTGAGAAAAAATTCATTTCCCTCTGCTTGTAGTGCCCTCTTTGCCAGTTCATGAGCCACAGCATTTCCAGTTCGACGGGTGTGCTGTACGTGGCAGTATGGGAAAGACGCCATCATCGATTTACAGTCAGATAGGATATTGCCCAATTCTGAGTTCAAAGCAATATCAGATAAAAGAGCAGTGACAATACTTGCACAATCTGTCTCAATGATGATTTTCCCCAGGTTGAGTTCGTTAGCCCACCGCAGCGCATGCCGAACACTGTGTGCTTCAGCAAGCTCTGCAACCACCACATCCTTCCCTTGACAGGCCATGGTTGCCAAGACGTCTCCATGGTGATCGCGGGCCACTGCGCCCATGCCAAACACTCGATGCTGTTCCGCTATGGCACCATCAACATTTATTTTAATGGTCCCCTCATCAGGCGGATGCCACCTTGTCTCACTATGTCGTTGGACCGCTGCAGATCCTCTGCCCAGTGATTCTTGTGCTCTCTTATGTTCCCCTAGATATTTCATGGTCCCCTCAATGATCTGCTGAGGTTGTACCGTTCTACTGTTCCATTGAGCATCATTTCGACCATTCCAAAACTTCCAACTCAGTGTACATAAGAGTTCCAATTGTTCCCTCTCTAAGTTAGTACTCATAATATCAAAAAAAATCTGCAAAGGAACTAAAAGGGAACTCAGATACACGAAGGTTAAGAGGGCTGCCATGCCATACTGCACGAGCAACAGAACAGAATAGAAGGCAGTGTACTACTGATTCTATATCAAAACCACATACAGGGCACTGTAAATCCACCTGTACACGCTTCTTCTGCAGATTTTCCTTAGTGGGAAGCACATTACAATAGGCACTCCAGGTAAAAAACTTTATTTTACCTGGAATATTGAGGTCCCATATTTTATTACCACCAAAAGCCACAGATGAGCTACCAGGAACATCCATATCCCTCTGCATATTCATCACACAATGGTAGCCAGAGCGGACAGAATAGTTGCCATGCTGTGTGAAACTCCACATCCAACCATCATTCCGTTGCAGCCAACCAAGCGGAAGGGATAAGATTAACCGGGCTTCATGGGGATTGAAAGTAGATAAGATCAAATCCCTATTCCATATGTGGGAGTTATCATCAATCAGATCACTAACATATCTAAGCTCGCAATTATCTGGGCGTGGTGATTGGATGCAATACTCAGAGCAGCCAGGGAGCTATGGATCCCCCCAAATTTTCCCTTGTTTTCTTTCCCCTTTTTTGCGATTGGCTCCACTCTCATGTATTGTCAACCCTATAGCATCATCCCAAAAGACCTCTTTTATGTGTCTAATGGGTTGCAAAATTATGGGCTAAAATGTGGGCTTAATCCAACAAGTATTTAGCCATTTCTCCTCTTATGTGTCTGCCAATGGCTCCACTCACACTTTTTGTCTAGTGTCCACTCTGTTGTGTAATCCCAAAATTAGACCTCTTTTATGTGTTTAATGAAGGGGTGTGCATTTTCGGGTGTAAGTTAGATATGAGATATATTTGATGCTTAATTTAAAAGTTGTTGGGTCAATTTTTTAGGTTTGTTATTTACCCAAATACTTAAAGACCTATACTTGGTACTTAACCCAATAGGTACCAAGTTGTTGGCTCAATGCACTCTAAGAGGGGGCGTGAATTGGAGTTGGAAAATTTTATTCTTTTTACAACCACCAAACAAAAATTAAAGAGAGAGTAAGGAAGAAGAGATTGCATAATGAATTTATAGAGGTTCGATCCAACCACTTGGATCCTAATCCTTTACCTTGGCTTTCACTCACCAATGATTTCCTCCACACTCTCCACTAAGAAAAACAATGGTGGCTTAAAGGAGTCACTCAATCTTTTTACAAGAAGAAGGGTGTTTCTCTCAAATCTCACCCATTTATAAGATAAACCCCAAGAATCCTCTCTACAAATCACTCTTGAAAGAATAATCACACACCCAAGATAACACACAAGTAGAACAAGAAGATGATTACAAGCAAAGATCACTCAAAGATCAAATACTCAAGTTAAAGCACAAGTTGGTAGGTAGAGATATTCAATATAAAGCTCTTCAAACTTGTTCCAGATCTACTACTAACCATATTTATAGCCCCTTGTTCGAAAATAGCCGTTTCTAGTTGTTGGGGATCCTTCAATGCTTTGTAGGACGTGTAATTTCGAATTACAGAAGTGTTAACACAATTGGCTTAGATTTCTAGAGTCGACTGCACAGCCAGCTTAAAAAATATGTAGTCAGATTTGTGGGTTTCCTGCACATTTTGTTTTTCTTGAGAGCCGCTGCAAAAATGTAAAGTCGGCTTTGGGATTTTGACTTTAGAAATTGTCACGCCCCAAAACCCGTATTCGAGGCGCGACAGACGCCGTGCACTCGTGAACGGCCCCACGAATGCACAAGGCTCGGAACTTATCCAAATCACAAAATCTCATGAATAAAATCAACCTTACAAAAGGATGATAAAATCTAAAACTTATACCCCAATTGAATGGCTAGCCTTCTAACTCGTCACTCCCCTCGGTTTCCCCGTCCTCAGTTTCGTTTCCTGAAATGGTGGACAAGGAAAACTATGAGATAACTCAGTAAGTAAATATGGATAGCCCTCGGGTAAAACTTTTAAGCATGCCAAATAAACCATTAATACGGAATCAAATTCAGTACAATAGCAAAACATTCAATGACAAACCGTTAAAACAGAATCAGATTCAGTTCAATAGCAACATGTTTCATAACAAACCGTTCATGCAGAATAAAACTCATCAGTTCAGTAGTCTCATCTATAAGTCATGGCCAGTGTTTAACAAACTCCCACTGGCAGGCGTCAGTAAT